AGAACCAGTCGGTAGTGCCGGTGCCGCGAGAGTTGGGCCGAAACACACGGTTTGTGGTCACCAGCGATGATATCGAGAGTCTGAATGTGACGCTTAAGGCGCCCGACAATAGGGTCTATGGTTTGGGCGGCGATCGAGCGGTGTATCGGCCGCTGGAGATGAGAGCGGCGTTCGCTATACCGATGGCCGACGAGGGTATGCTTTTTCAATATAGATATATTTTACCATGAGACACTATACAAAATGTGCAATTTTTAATCTAAAATCTTGTTAATTTAAAACATGCAAAATAATAGGTCTACCAATCCATACCCATTTAATATTAAAATCCAAAACCATTTAATAAACATATAATACAAATAGAAATTTTTACAGTTTGTAAAGTAATGTCATATAAATTGTTTATAATACGAATGTCCTATGTTTGAAATATGTTCACTTTATTGCTGTGTTATTTATACTCTATTCAAGTGCTGCTCATATATAATGTACCTGAATATGATTAGTGGGGTTTAAACATGTTTTTTAATAAAAACTAATATTTACTCATAATATAATTTTTGATATAAAAATAGTATAAAAACAGGGCATATAATAAATAAGAAGTGTAACGATTGGAGTGAATAATACTTTGCAAATTATCAAGGTAGTGCATACAACACTTCAAGTTATAAAGAACATTAGGGAAATCCTAGTTTATAATATTGTTTTAGGCATTGAAATAGTATATTGTATAAAAAATTATGTAATAAATCATTATAAAAATACTTTATCATAATTTGTTGACCAACAGGCAAATGGACAGTTGGCTACGAGCGCAGGCAACGGGACAACAATTATGAGACTGTCATAGCATACCTATCCGTTACCAGTGAGTCCCGGGTTGACGAGCCCGTGAAGGTCAGGGCCTGGGTTGACACCCCATTCACGGCCACCGGTAAGGGTGCGGACCATAAGGTGACCACAACGGCAGTGATTACGGCAGAAGTGACCAAACGGTACAACTATGTCATTTGCGCGGATGTGTTGGCACTGGTAGACAGACCTACCGGCGATCCAGTGGTCATTCGGCTCCGGGATAATGGTTTGGGCGCCGATAAAGTGGCTAACGATGGCCTGTATTCCGGGGTTTTTCGCCAGTTTAATGGGAACGGGAGATATGGCGTGTCGGCACGTGTTGTAGATAATGGCAAACCTATGATTAAACTCGGGATTGAAGATCGCAAAGTTAAATGTGGGTAAATTTATTAAGTGTTCGATCATGTTTATTTGGTTAATGATATTTATGTTATGATTAAGTATATTAAAATTATTATCAATGTCATTTTTGCCTACTTAATTTAATTAATTGTAACATAAAACAATAAATCGGATAACAAACATTAATTGACAATATAAATATGTTATAATGGTATAACTTATTAAATATTTTATTTAGTTCACAACAGAGTTTTAAAACAAACAAGCAATATTAATTAAAACTATATGTTACAATATAAATTATATCATTTTTAAAATTAAAATAAATTAACTAACTTAAAACATAAGTGAACAAGTTAATATTTTTATTTAAACCAACTTTAAATCAAATTATTATTATAAAATTAAACATTCCCGTGAAGATTCAAGCCAATATTTTGTTAAATACAAATTTACATTATACTTTTAAAATAGAAAATATATTTATTACAGTATATAAAGTAATATAATTTAATAAATTTAATTAAATCAACAATTCATTATACGCAACGGATTAATAATAAGTTATTTTGTAATTAATAAAACGTTATACGATTTATTAATTAAAAAATAAACATTAAATTAGCATAAAGTTTTGTAATTTAACTGGGTCCGAGTATACAGCGCTCATCAACACCAACAACATTAAAGTACCCAGACCGATTTTCACATTTTTGTTTTTATTTATTATGTTTGCATATTTAATTTATAATTTATTTAAATAGTTTTGTAAATTTTGTGATCATAAAATGATTTTATTAAATTTAATAGTAAACATATCGTGAGCAAAATAACTGGGTGGTGATGTGTAGCTCGTTTCGGGCTCACGAGTGGTGTATTTGGTGGCGATTCGACAGCTAATCGCGAACTTGACTTACAGTTTAGTGTTGAGTTCTCTGGCGTTGTCTCCCGGACCACGTGTGTGATCAAAGAGTAGGTGTTTCCTCCCTGTTCGTTGGCACGAACCAAGAGTTGTTGGCGCCCTGGCCACCGAGTTAGTGGCCGAAGCACAGGTTAGATCCCTGACCTCCCAATAGGGCGGCCCAAGAAATGGTAGCGAAACACAATGGGGTTTCGATACCGAAAGACATTTTATTGACTTAATTGTTACACAAGTTATACGTTTGATTGCTGGGGGAGAACTAAGGGGTTAGAGCGCACAGTCTGCCTCTTAAATAGAGCTTTTGGAGGTTACAGAAAACAGGAAGGGATTGACTCGGAGTGAGAGTCAATCCCTGACATTTAGATAAAAATGATTACAAACTTAAAAACTTTGAGTTACATTAAAAACGACTAAAAACTATAGGATAATCTCGATGGAATATTCCAGGGGAATTTAGCTCGCGATAAACATATTTAATTAACGTTAAAATTTTTAATAATAATTTTTAACAATGTTTGCAATTAAAAATCTACTTTACATTTTAGACACAATTTAATGCATGCGCAAAAAATTTTATTAAAAATTTTATATTGCAATTAAAAATTAATTAAATTAATGTTTATAAAAAACACATTGACTGAACACGTATGCAATTAACACATAATAATGACGACTAATAGAAAACAACTATATTAAGCAAATAGTTGGTGACAACATGGCCATTAAACTAACGTGCATGGCACTACTGGTCACTGCGATCGTTATCGTGGCGCTAATGCCGACCAACCAATCAGAGGTGAGCAAGGCACCAGGTAGCACCGTACAAGAGCAGCGCGACCAACGTGCCAGGGCAACCATAATATACATCACAGGGGGCTGGTACAAGCAAGGTATAATGAGAATATGTGCCATGAAGAAATGCGAACCCCAAACTCAGTATTGTCGCTACATGGGAACTAATAATTTCCAATGCGTACCTAAAAAGGGAAAAATCCATGCCGACTTTAAAGTAATCAAACCTGATGATCGCCATTGGTTATATGTCATGAATTGGATAACAAATCCAGACTCTAAAAATGGTAAAGAGCATCAAGCTTAAAATGTGTATTATATTATATATTCAATATTTAAATTTAATTTGTATTAAGTTATATTCCGTTGTCTATATTATAATTACATTTAAGGAATTGACCATAGCCTTGTTAAATCTATTGTCAATATTCTGTTTACCTTAGTGCAATGTAAAATATACACTCTGTATATTATATTTAGTACTATTGTGTTTTTACATAGGAATGCATTGCAACATTGTCTTACTATAAACACATGTAGATTAGGCATTTGTAATCCGATTTTAATAAACTCGGATGTTTTTAAACAAGTATAAATTACACTTTAATTTCATATACTCTTTTTATAATTTCACTAATATCCCGGTCATTTCAACGGCAATATTTAAAGTTATGGCATTTGCGTGAAATAATGAAAGAATAAATTAGTTTATTTACTCCAAATTTAAAATATATAACAAAATGTTTTAAAATACCTTTGATTTATAATTAAATTATTTGAATCAAGATAATAAGTTTGACAATTGACATATGCGAGCGATTATTTAAAGAAATAATGCATAAATGACTAATTCCATAATAAAATTATTGTGACAAGCACAGTGGACCAAATTTAAATATTATGTCAAATAAACTAATAAGTTATCATGACAAATTTATAAAATTAGTACCACTTATTTGAGACAACAATTTAGAGAAATAAGATAGGTCCTAAAAATCTAGAATAATTTTAATGTGATAATTTTTAATAAAATTGCTCCTGATTAGCTAAACGTCCGTTAATCCAAATTTAATTTATTATGAATTAATATTGAATTAATGCCAATTAATTTCAATTACTAACTGAAAAGAAAAATACTTCTAATTGATGCTAAATTTTTTGTAGAATATAAGCTATCAAATAGTACTGAGTATATTATACACCCTGTACATATAATGTTTATACTGTCATTTATTTGATATTTATTAAATAGTATAAGGTCTGAAAACTAACATTTAAAATAATATATATAAAATAGATAATTTAATTAAATTATTTAGTAATGTTTAAAAGGTTTGTAAAAAAATTTGTAAAACAAATTGTAATTTACTTAAATTAATGATTAATCATTAAGATAAGTGAACAATAATAATTTTATATGTCGATATTCGTATAATATTATTATAAAATATACATAAACAAAAAAGTTTACATATTTTTAATCAATTGTATAAAAATTAAATAGTGTGATCATGTTAATAAATTATTATTATATAAATTGATCATTCTGTCTATCCCTTATTTATTAAAGCATAACATCTATACGCATAAAAAACTGTTTTGTATTCACTGACTCGACGGGTGTCCGGCGCCGGCAGTCGACGCACTCATCTCTGCCCTCAACCACAACACCACACATACAGCCGAAGCCGTATTGTATGAGAGGTTCAAATACCCGGACACTAATCAACTGAACATACAGTGCGACCTATACTGTGTCGGGGCGGCTGTCAGGAGCCGGTGTGCGACTCACCCGGTTATAAGGGTAGGGATTTGGCTCTCGACAGGTATTCACAACTGTCAGCCTCCACCTCGATGTTTGTTTTCGAGCCCACAGATGATTCACGTGAGTAAAACTCAATTTAATTCATTTTATAACATTGTGTTTATTTAACTAGTGGTAATTTTTGAGGTACACTTATCGACAAATTTTTTTATTTAGTTACCCACGAAAATCTGTCCAAGTGTACTGAATGGAGATTCCCATGGTTAATTAACCTGTGATTAGTGTTGGGCGTGTTATTACTATTAATGTTATTGTTAAATATGTTCATGTGCTCATCGCTCAGTTGCCGGTGTATTAAAATTGAGGTAAAGTTACATTTAAATCAAATTTAAAAATTATTAAATACATCACATGTTGTTGTATCGATAAGCTATACTAGACTAAATTAAAATAAACTTGTTATATTAAATAAGTTTGCGATAATAATTTTAATGAAACCCAAGAATTTTACAATTGTTATCTGTATATCAACCTGAAGTAAAATATTTGAATATAATTTATTTTAATTTATCTTGTAAATTATAAAATAATATTATATATTAATTTCTTGTGTACTTATCATCCAATATCACGATAAAATACTATTGTAAAGATATTATAGTATAAGTTTATGTTAAAGTTACAGTTATCACACTCGTGTCCAATATTACAAATAAATTTACTTGGTGGTAATATTTTAAAACTTGTTCACATTAACGTTACAGCTATCACACTTGAGTTTGATTACATTGTTTTAAATATGATTAATCGTTTATTCAATTATTTTATTTCACCTAGATCGTCGAACAGGAACCGGACGAGACAGTCGACGACTACGACCCATACCGGGCCGACTGGACGGCCCCGAACTCACGGTACGGGTCACGCAATTCACTAAACAAAGGCTATCCCGAGGGGACACTCAAGTCAAACAAATCACAGCCAAAGTCGTATCACTTGGGCTACGATAACGATGACAACGCGCCCGACCAACACAACCGGTCATACTCTACATTACAGACCCGTTCCCCTCGACCCCGATCGATGGGTCCGCCCCTCTCAACCTACTCGACCCACTCGTTAAAGTCAAACAAAAAATTAAAACCAAT